TAGACTGAATTAGAATAAATCTTCTATTAATTTTATTTTACGTATTTATTATTTATTTTTATCACTGTGATTTTAAATTACTGCAATATTCTCAAATATTAGTGTTGGTTTGTATTAAATAAAAGTAATAGAATATTGTGTTTTCGTTTTTTTTTAACGCATTTACACCCAAAACACAAATTTTGAAAAATCACGTGAGAGGGAGGAAGTTGAGGAAAATTTTACGAAATCTTATCAGGGGGGGATAGGGGGTGAAAAAATCCTTAAAAATACCTCACATAATTAATTTTCGTGTAAAAGAATGTTTCAAATTAACCTTCCTTAAAAAATATATCTTTTAATTTATTAAAATGGCACTAATCCTAATCTAAAATGATATTTTTTGAGATACTTTTTTCGAAGATATGTATGATAGAAAAGAGAAACCAAACAAACGTATGTTATATTGTCATCGGTTAGTATCATCTAGGTATGTCGTACTTAAGAGTTACAGTATATTTATATAATATTTACAATCATTGTACATGACATATATCACATCCAAACGAGCATATTTTTTTTAGTGAAAAAATGGTCAAAGGGTTGACGATCAGAATAGATTGCTTCGATAAAATATTTACAATTGTTTTGTTTAAAGAATTCCATGAAGGGTAGGTCAAAGTTAATATACAAAAGTTAAAAAATTTAATAAATATGAAATTTTTTAACAATTTTTAAAAGCCACTTTGCAAAAATTGAATTTTTTTAATAACTGAATGATAATAAAGATAATCTGAATGAATGTAGACGTCGAAGGGTTTACTAAAACCTGATAATCATAGAAACAGGGTTAATTTTAAAACTGGTAATAAACCTGTTTCAAAATTGACAGATACTAAGAAATCTTGAAGGTATAGTGAGTGTTTATATTGATGCAATATACTACACTCCTCATATTAATCAGTTAATCTGTTTAGTCTGGGATCTAGGTATCAAATTCCAGACCAGACAATATCTAATCAAAAGTACTCACCTGGAGGTACTCCTCGCCATTTACAACTGAATCACACTTGAGTTGCAGAGCTGTGTCCTCACTATGGATATGTCAATTATTGGCAAGATTTGATATAAAAATTATTTTGTAAAAAATGCAATAAAAGCATCATTTTTTTAACCATCTCTTTTAAAATTATTCAAATAACTTTGAACTACCCTGTTTGTATTAAGTTCATATACAAACCATGGAATAATTTATTATCAAATTAAAACAATCCACATTTTTCATTGCAAAAAGATATTTTGATTGAAATAGATTAATTTTTAAAAAAATACAATGAAAATAGTAAAATAATAAGCTTTTCTTTTTTAAAGAAAGTGTTAATTTTTAAAATCTACTGGACATTCGTTTATTTCTTATGTATTTGGTAAATATAATTTTTCATAAGGTTTTATATATTCCGAATTAGAGTTCTGCTAAAATAGTATATTAAAATAGAATTTTAGAATTTTACACCATTGAATTTTAAAATGGTGTAAAATTTTGAAAACCTACTTTATGAAGTTGATATTTTGCTGACATTAAAAGTTATTTTTTCTCCGCACCTCAAAGATGTCTTCTTAGTCAGGCCCGCGCTGTACATAAAATAATGTCTAAACAATATATGCTATATGCAAGAAATATTTGGAAGGAAACCAAAATTAGAACGATTACAAAACAAGCATCAGGTATCATCGAGGAACAGCTAACGATATTAAATCTTGTTAAGTGTTACGGAGAAGGATCTGATGTGTCAGTCTTTGACCAAAGAGATATAAAGCGCCAATTGAACACTTTGAAGAAAGTCAAGGCCTAACAGATGTAGTGATACTGCATGAAAGTGCTGATGTTATCCTCAGACAGTAGTATAGAAGAAAGGATAAAGATGTCGATGTCCAGCTACAAAAGATCCTTATCGTAGAAGCAGCTGCCAAAATATTTAAAAGTAACTAGCAGAAACATATACCCTATCAGGAAAAAGCTTGAAGTATTGAAGGTCTAAATTACTCAAACTTCTGCTTTTAAAGATGTTTGTTGGTAAGGATAAAACTCTGAAAGTAGCCAATGCAGTGTGCTTGGGCCAGGTCAATATTAGCACCTTTTTAATTGACTAACTGTTCAATTATAACATTTTGAAGAGGCCTCGTAGACACGCTTCTCGCCCTGGAATTTTCAGTATCATTCAATGGAGGTATACAATTTAAGACAAATGCTGCACTTGTTCACTTCATTACCACTTTAAGATGGTAAGAGACAATGTTGATAATAATTCATTTCACCATATTCACAAACGTCCACTGCAGTTATAAGGCGAAAAATAATAAATGACGGGCTTCTCCAGCTAGAAACGATCGACATGAGTACAGAGCGTTATCACATATTTTAGAAAGTACAGTCTTTGTTGATATACTTTTCTTTTCATCAAAGAATTATTTATTAGATCGCGTTTGGCAGATTTTTGAGTATTTAAAACCCTGTAGAGCACAGTGGTCTAGTGCAATGCAAGTTGTTTTCGTTAATAAAGATATAACTCACACCAGAGAGGTTGTTTAATTTTTACCAATTATTGATTTGATTCCGTGACATGCATACTGTCAAGATTGAAATTTTTGTTTGACCTCGCTAATAAGAACCACATCCCAGCTATCATAACGTTTGATCAGCCATTGTTTTGGATAGCTTCCATTGATTAAGCTGAAATATAATATGCCCAAATCAATTTTCCTTTAATTATGAATTTGCTGGGTGCAGTTAGCTCGCTGATGACAGATTCTGGCATTTCCAAAGTTTTTAAAATTATATATGCAGGAAATGCCGTTCATCATCTAATCAGTGGAAAGGCGTATTCACGAGCAATTAGAGGATGTCGCTTTACATACCAACCTTATTAGATATTCATTTCCAAGTGGTAAAAGACAGAAAGCTGTTATCTTTGACAATTTACTCGAAACATGAAAATCTAATGGAAGATAGCATTTGGAATCCAATGAATATCTTAAATAGCCTTCTTTGGCGTGAATATCAAACTGCAGTAACTACCATTCATAAACTTATCACTGCAGATTTTTTAGGATTATTTCCAAAGCTACTTGAGGGTCCTACAGAAGCCTTGCCCATTTTAACAGCATCTGGGCATACGAATTATACAAAAATACACTCATGCTGAAATTTATGCAGTTTTCAATGGAGATGGTCATGTGATACGACGTACTGATGATATACGAGTCGGATTGCCACCAGACTTGGTAATTGAGCAGTGTTTAAGGTTACTCAAGACAAGTTGAGGGGACCCTCCAGAGGTCCAAAATAAAAAAAATGTTGTCAATGCGTCAAAATATAATGACAATGCAAACGATGTATACGATTCTAGCGAATAACATAAAGATTTGACGCAATCACGAAAAAAACGAGCCACAGAAAAACTCAGAAACGATACTTCAACTACTGAGATCGATTTAAGCTCATTCAGACCATCTAAATTTTCAAAAATTTGTAACTGGTGTCACAGCAACTGAACATGTAAAAATTGAAACATTTAAACCATTGATATGGATATTGTAGAGAAGATGAAGAGCTAGGAGATGTTTTCTTATAAAACGACAAGGCAAAAATAATTTATTTTGTAATATTCAATAAGTTCAAGAAATAGGATGGTACTATTGACCCAGCTCTGTTATTTCAGCCATTGATTATGTCATCTTTTTTCGAGTGAAATTCATCTTGTAGTAATGAAATATGAACTGTGAAAAATGAAAAAAAACGTGCCATAGAAAAACTCAGATACGATATTTCAGCTACTGAGATCGATTTAAGCTCATTCAGACCATCTAATTTTGCAAAAATTTGTAACTGGTGTCACAGCAACTGAACATGTAAAAGTTGAAACATTTAAACCATTGGTATGGACATTGTGGAGAAGATGAAGAGCTAGTAGATGTTTTCTTATAAAACGACAAGGCAAAAATAATTTATTTTGTAATATTTAATAAGTTCAAGAAATAAGATGCCACTATTGACCTAGCTCTGTTATTTGAGCCATTGATTGATGAACTGTGATCAATTTCTCTAATAGTATTGTTGAAAGCAAGCCAAACCTATCAAGGGCGCTGATTGCGTATGTTACAGCAAATATTTCTCAGCAATTTGCAACAGCAGAAGAAGATGATACAAGTTATATGTTCAAGGAAGGTTCCTAACCAGATCGCCTGCCTTGGCATAAAGAGAGTGTATTCAGGGATCCAGCAAGATCTTATAAATCGTTTGTAACAACTAATTATGGGCAGGCAACTGTAGTTTTTGATGGTTATACATTAGAATACACAATAAAAGATAAGATTCATGTTCGCCGAATAAATGCAATTTTTCCTTCTGTAAAATTCGCACCAGATATGACATTCACAGGAAATAAGGAATTGTTTCTCACTAATAAGAGAAACTAGCAGAAAATTATTACTCTAAATCGCTGAAAAAATGTATGCAGTTGATGATACCGATGTTGATATTGTTAAAATTGCAGTGAGACTTCAAAAATTAAAATTACAACAGTGATAGGAGAAGACACTGATCTACTGGTATTGCTCATTTATTGGTGTTTTTTAGAAGTGATAAAACCTTCCAAACAAAATACCATTTATGATATCAATGCCATTCTGTTCTGTATAGATTCGTATACAGGATGTGACACCTCCAGGAGAATATTATATATTGGAAGGCAATCAGTTTTCAAACGTATTTTACAGATGAAGATTATGAAGAATTGTGGAAAAACAGCCAAAGCTGTTAAATGATTGTTCAAATATGGAAAATGATACATAATTTGAAATTGGGGTTTTTTGTTCTTGTAAGTTTAATGTGTAATGTTAAATGTTTAAGATGATATTAAAAAGGTATTTAAAAAAATGAAATTTGAAATTAAAGATAGTGAATATGGAATACAAACATTGCTAAGTGTGGAATCTAGAAAACCAGTACTAGTTAAATTTAAAGAAAAGTCAACCAGAGATAAATTATTGGAATTGAAGAAAACGATAAAATTAGATACACTAGAATGATGATGAGAGCAAAATAATATACATTAATGAAGATCTACTAAAGAGTGTCCGGATGTTGTATAATGAAGCCAAAATTCTTAAAATTCATGGCTATAGATTTGTATGGTATAAGAAAGGGACTGTGTATGCTAGGAAAGAATTAAAAACGAAAATGAAGTAAAGTCAATATTATTTTTTTATAATTTTATCTACAATTTTTAAACATTTCAGCCAAATTTTATTGAAATAATATCATATCAAATTTTTTAAGGAAAAATAAAAAATTCAGCCGCCATCTTGGATTTTGATTAATTTACTGGGCCATGATTAATGGGGGAATAATGCAAAAATAATAATTTGTCTTGCAATTTTTCCTAGGGTCAAGGGAATTTTTATGACATTTTGACTGTACTATCTGTAGTTCTTGGTAATCTGGAATACCTCTTGATTCCATGAAAATATATTCCCAAGTTCTACAAGATGCTGAAAATTGGTATTCAAAATCTGATTGAATTGAATTTATTGAATAGATGCTAATATAGCGATATCATTTTGGATTATAAATTTAAGTTTGTTTTAGTCATTCAGACATTTATTTATCTACTTCTCTCGAGCTCCGTCAGCTCTAAATTTGAATGAACATCTTTGCAACCAGCTATAACCCTTGTAATTATATTTACCAAATACCAAAAAGGTATCTAATTTATAACATATCAACTATCAAATTTCCAAGTTACATAAACCGTTTTTCATAGTTTTAACCTCTACAAATTTAAAATTATTCAAAATCTTAATCTCACTTCCCTTTTCCGGAATCAACGCACTAGAGACACCTCCATACTCGTCCATATTTACAACAACATCCCTAAAGACACTTTATACACAACTTTCTTGCTGGCAGCCCATCAGCGGCGTCCTCACGGTCACTACCTCCCTGTGGTAGATCCCTTGTTTGTGAGGAAAGATGGCTGAGGCGGGAGAGATCATCGGAGATGTTTTCACCGGCGGTGGCCTCCTGGAGTGGTCGATTTGGGCGTAAATTGTAGGGTCGTCTCTGTTTTGAAGCGTGCCATACTGGTTACCGCCATTTGTGATGGGCTCTAGGGAGTTGGGCCTCGCGTGTGCTAATTCGGCGTAGGTTACTTCGTTATTAGCCTGGAAATAAATATTAATTTTAGTTTTGTTTTTGTTTAATGCACGGGTCACATACTATATATATGATGCAATTAATTTTTAAGTTATATTAAGTGGAGCAAATGGTCCCATATGAGTATAGCGGTATGGTTTAGGCATTATGACCTATATGAATATAAAAGGAAATTAATTTGTTATACCTGTATATCCAAAGAGTTGAAAAGGGAATAGTAAATGTAAATGCTGTGTGTTCGAATTTAAAGTCTCTATTTTTTATTATTTTGTTACGTAGCACCCTGCAGTAGCCTGCGGCTTTTATAGGAAACGTACATATAGAAAAAGAAGTGGAATGTTACTTATCTCCCTACAGTGCTGCGGTCGTCATAAGTAAAAGTACAAGTAATAGAAGATAGAATAGTCCAAAAATGTCTGGAAATGTCATTAGCCGTCAAGAATAATCTAGACGACAGTTCGAGAAGGTTCGAGAGGGTCAAGCAAGCTATATAAGGATGATCTTGACGACAGTTTTCAATTTTATGATAGACGTTACATGTTAATGTTATCAGTTGTATAATTGTTGTTAAAGTTGAGTTGAAATAAATTTGTTTTGTAAAACTCTCATTATATTATACATGATTTATAATTTTTATGCAGCACCATAAAATAAATGCATGATAAAAAAGCAAAATTGAACTAAGCTGTGCCTGTGTGAAGCTGATAGTGTGCAGGTGTTCAATGGTGTGCAGTAGTGTAAGAGTAAAACTCAATAGCACTTACTATTAATAAATATTGGGAAGTGGTATATAACGTTCCTAAAATAAAAATAAAAAAAAAATAATATGCTAAAACTAATTAAAACGAAAAAATTGTGTTTAGTGACAAAAAAAATAAATAATATTAAAAAATTTTAAAAATAAAAATGTATTTTAGTATATCTTAATCAATTCGTCAGAATATTTTTCTATGTATGGTCAACGAAAATTATTTACCACGTTGTCTAATTTCTACGATTATTTTCTTTTTGTTAAAATTTTGATATATATCAAGGGTGGTTCTTCATAAATTTGGTCAAGATTTCAAAATGGGATCCATGAGAAAATCATCAAGGTCTTCATTTTTTATGTAAATTTAACGATAATTATTTACCACTTTGTCCTATTACTATGATTCATTTTTTGTTAGAAAGGGGGTACCTCAGAGGATGCTACTATAAACATTTTGTTTAGATCTGATGATGGGATCTATAAGAAAATTACCAAACATAATTTTTTATGGCATCTGCTCCATTTTTTAAAATTAAATTTATAAAAATATGTGGTTATTTTAAACATCTAATACACCAATATTTTACAGGTTAATATCCACTCGAGTCATACAGTATATTTTTTCTACGACATACTAAATAATATAACTTTAAATTTTAAAAATAAATGAAAGAAAGGTTCTAATTTATTATTTTGACTAATTTTGACTAGTTTCAGATCATATCTTTTAATTTGACGTCAAGTGAAAGAATGGTATTTTCTTCATTGTAACGGCCACTTCTTTTATATTTATTATGAACTGTAATAATTGACGAATCTTCCATTATTAGATCATTTTGGTTTTTCAATGTTTCTATAATAGAAACTTTACCATCAATAAATTCTTTTTCCACACCTTTGATTATAACTTATAGCCATTTTTTGCTTTGTTCTTTCCTTTGTATTTAAATCCTTACAATTAATTATAACTGCTCCACTTCTTCCTTCTCTGATGTTTTCAACTGCAATAGCCATTTTTCCCGGATTAATGTTGTCCTTAATACCTTTTTGTGTGACTTTTCTTTCTTGTGTTTCCTCCGACTTCACAATGATAATTTCATTAGAATTTGAAGCTACAGTCGAATACAGTGATGTTACATGTACATTAGGCTTATTTATTTTTTATTTTATCCTGATGAGCTTTAATTCTAGTGTTGAATTACGAATTTACTTCTTTGATTTCCTCCAAGACTATATTATTTTTTAATGCAATAGTATCCTGTATTTTTTTAATCTCATTTGACAGAGTTTTTTGTATTTGATCAGAAAATATCTTGTATATATCATTCATTTCATTTAGCAACCTTTTTTCCATATTTTTTAATTAATCTACAGATCCAACTTTCTCTGAACAATATTCCTGGCATATATACTTTAGTAGTCTTCTTTCTGTTAATTCCGTCACTCTTACCTCTGTACTAATTGTTTTAGAACAATCTTGACAAAAACTGCATTTTCAATAAACACATTTGATTTTCTTTCCTTTTTCCTCGGCAGAGAGAACGATTTTACATTTGAATTTAAAGTGGGCAGAGTACAATAATCAAATACCAGTTTTGATATCTTGATATCTCTTAACATAAAAAGAAGATTAGTTTTTTTTTGTTCCTACTGGATTACTTTTAACTTTATAGTGAATTATATTTTTATTACTTACTTATAATAGACCAACGATCTATAGTTGTTTTAAGTATCATAAGATTAAGAATTTTTTTATCCATACTTTGGTTAAATTTACTTTTATACCAGCAAATTTGAGTAATTTTTGGAAAGCACTTTCACTGTTGACCAACTACCTATACAAACTGTACCTTGTATAATATTGAAAGGGTTTTATTTACTTAACAGAAACCTTTAAAAATAAATTTATTTTATTTTTGTAAAAACTGAAGCTATTAAAATTTAAATGAAGTATCCAAAATTAATATGGATTATATGCTGGAAGTTCTAATCATAAGAACAAAAGCTTAATAGACCCAACTGTTCATCAACTACCTCCCGAACCAATTTACATGTCTGTTTTCATTTCGAACAAGAGATGAACTTTCTGATAATGTGGATTAATTCAGTTTACCTTGTTTTGCATACCCCATGCTGCTAACACCGCTAACGGGGCGTCAATTTTAGGAAGTTTACCCAGGCAATAAATAATATTAGGATATTCATAGGTTCTCTCTTAACTGTAAATTAGTTCAAAATTAAATTAACAAGAGCCGGATAATTGTCCGTCGAATATTATAATGTGACAAATTTAATAAACTTTTAGAGTCTGCTGTAGTAGATATGTTTTCATGCCTCTTAACTAACGGACTCAAAACATTTTAGTCTCTTACAATATATTAATAATTTTGATTAAGGATAACTTTCAAAACTTTATGCAAAACTATACTTTTTATGGTAGATGAATATTTCATAGATTTTTTTATAAATATAACTGCGCCATCGTTTTGGTTATAAGTGCCTTTCATTAAATAATAGATCATAACTTGTAATTTTATATAGTGTACAATCTGGTATAAATAGCGTTTCAGATCAAAATCTACATTTAGTTCATCTAAGAAAATAGAGAATTCGTTAAGGTTGTTTTTATAATTTAGGAGAGGTAGTTGTTTGAAAATAATGTCCTTTATTCATAGACAAACTACCTTAAACAGTTCGAGACAGCTGCGAGAGCAAATGAATGATCTGAGAGAGAAAATGCAGTGAATCTGACGATCGCTCTTCGAGGAGACGCTTTAGATGTCCTTCACACTATACCCGTGAAAGAGACAGATGATTTTGAGCAACTAAAGAAGAGACTAAATATTCGATATGACCACGAACATTTGGAGCATCTATACCAATCACAGTTAAACAAACAGCAAACAGAAACTAGAAACTAGAGCGAGTCGGCCAAGAGGGGCCAGCTTTGACTCGAAACCGTTCCAAAGACCCTCTCATACTGATAGTCTCTTTGAAATGTCGCGATGATAGTGTATATGTAGACGGCGAAATAAAAAATGGTAAAAAGTATACACTGTTGATGGATATTGGAGCAACTATGACCATTATACGATCAACAACCACAAAGAACCGTAAGAGACTTCTACCAACAAGACTGCGACTGCGGACTGCCTGAAAGTGTCAACATCCATGGGGAAATCCAGGTTCAATTGGGAATTGGTACAGAAAAGTTCACTCATACTGTTATTGTCGCTGATATCGAAGAAGATGTTATTCTTGGAATGGATGTAATGAACTAACATGATTTCTAGTTGGATTTTAAGAACAGAGTGATCAAAGTTGGTGCCAAAGAGGTATTACTACATCCATATGGGAGATTACCGTGTCATTTACTGTACAGGAGGATACGGTGGTACCTGGCAGAAGTGAAACTTATAGTAGCACGGCTTCAAGAAACTATGGAAGAAGGAACACCTATCATGAAGGAATCTTGGAACCATGACGAAGAGGTTGGACGAGGCATTCTGATCGGAAAGAGATTGGTCACGACTACTAAAGAAATTCCAGTTCGTCTTATAAATGTTAATGATCACCCAATTACCATCAAGAAATATCAGAATCAGAATTTATGTACCAGTAACTTCCATAATTCGTCAGACAACAATTTCTGATAATTCCAACCACAATTTTGAGCAAATGATTGTAGTTATTGGTCAATCTCTGAATCAGTTATAGAAAAAAAAAAAATAAAGGATTTTCTTTGACGATATCGTGACATTTTTGTACCAAAAGGAGGAAAACAGGAAGAACTTCTGTTGTAAAACATAAAATTGACACTGGTGACGCCTAGTCGATTCGTCAATCAGCTCGAAGATTATTAAAGGCCAAGAAAGAGGCAGCTGAAAGGATTGATCGGATGTGAAGGAAGAGAGGGTGATAGAACATTCTACCAGTTAATGAGTCTCTCCGATAGTCCTAGTTCACAAAAAGGATGGATTACCAAGAAAGACAGTTATCCTCTGCCTCAAATCGACGATACCTTGGGAACATTGACCGGAAATAAACTATAAATAAATAAGACTATCGTCACAGTATCCATTGTACAAAAAAATAAAAAATTATATGTGTATACATGAAACAAACAAGAAAAAGGAAAAAATATGTTTTTTTTTGTTTATATTTTCAACTTTAAATCACTTTATTTAACTACTTGATTTAACGTGTTCACTTAGGCAGAGACAAATATTAATATGGATCACTTTATTTAAGTTTAAAGTTTTTCATTATTTTGTATGTTACCAGTCTATTAGATTTGATTACAAATAATTTGTTGTGACAGGAAAAATGCGAAGCAAAACAGTATTATTTGACGACATTTGTAAACATAGGACATTCCTAGTTTTATTCGTGCTACGACGGACAACCCCAGTTATATAAAGGTAGGGTAAAACTTCATCAATAAATTCTGTGAACGTTTCTTATTTTATGCCAGAAGGATTTTATCCAAGGAAAGTAACAATAGGATCTCGAATAAAACACAACAGATTGCTCTAATAATATCGATTTTTATCAAAATGAACATTCCCTTTTTATTCCTATATCTTTCAAGCAATACTAGTCCACTTTCCTTTATTTATATTTACTAGAATACTATAAATTTTAATCCAGAACAATTAAATTATTATTTTTGAGTCAAAAATGACTTATAACATGTTAACAGTTCAAATATTGAGTCCTTCTTCAAAATCTTGATAAAGTACAATAAAATTATGTGATTTGTGACTCGTACATAACATTTAAATATAAGGAGAATATATTAATATTGTATGAGGTAAAATGGGTTTAAAATTATTTATCTTTGATGTATCTAAGTTGAGGAGAATATAAAGGAATATACTTTAATAATATGCTCACGTCTTGACAATCAACTAAAAATGGTTACTATTACCTTAAAACTTTAATCACCTTTATTAAATTTGTAAATATCAATTTATTACTCTATTTTTAATATTAATTTCGTGTCTAAATATCCAAAAAATGTCGTTTTTCGAAGTATTAAAAATAGGCATTTACAATATCATTCGCATCATTATTCACCCGAAATATTTTTCATTCAGAAAAGTTTTGAGTTTCGGAACAAATGTTCGTCTCCTTCATTGGAGCGATTCGCCATGTTCAGTCTATTGCTTTGACTGCATTTTCGATTCTAGTGTGAAGTGGTAAATCCACGTCTCTTCCGTGCTCACAAATCTTTACTTGAATTTCGTCGGATTCCTTTTTTAGTTTTAAACAATGAATTAAAGTTTTTCGGTTACCATCTTCAAGAAAAGTTTTATGTGTAAATTGTGAGTTACCTATTTATATACAGTGTTGCTACTATAATTGGGAAGTATTTGAAGAAAATTACATAATTCTATACTTTACAAATATTTTATTGAAATCTTTAGAGGTTTAATTAGTAAAGGATATTGGTTACCAGCTTAGGTCTAAAATAATTTCGTTATTAGAAGTAAAGATTATACTATCTTGTTCAATATTAGAGTATAATTATTGCTAAATCCATTCACAATCAACTGAGGACATTTGCATGTTTCAGATTTAACAAAATACTCAATTCGACAAAAAACTAATGCAGTAGGGACCAATTACAATTAGAAGAACACAGGTACGTCATCATTTAGCAAAATAATTAATTGGTTATCGCCGCCTACTGGGGGTTTTAATATTATAGGAATATAGGAATTCTTTTTTTAAACCAAACAATGTACTTATTTTTTATTTATTGATAGTGATAGATAAAATGTATTCGAAATTCGAAGTAATCGTTATGAAGTAGCTGTGTTCTTCTAATAATTGTAATCGGAACTTACCTAGCCAAACTTTAATATGGGGTATTTTAATACTTAAAAAAAAAACAGAAGTGAATGCCCTACGATGTTTTTTTTTTCAATAGTAATAATAAAAAATCCCGTATAAATCCACCTTTATGGAACACACTGTATTTCGAATAATGATGACGTTATAAAAATATACGTGTATCAAAAAATTCGCATCTAACAAACAAAATAGACCTGGCCGAGATTTTTTGTTATTTGTTTATTAAAGCTAGAAATCCGTCCATTTTAACAAACCTCACATTTAATACTTCATCAAAACAATAGATAACAAAGAAATTATGAGGAAAATTTGTCGGAAAATGATGAGACTGGATCTGCGTAAAATATAAGAAAAAAAATATGCCAATCAATATTGTTCTTTTTTTTTGTGAAAATTTTGTATATAAATTCAGAATTGTTCCCAAAATGGCTAACTGAACATTTCATTTATCGAAAGCCCCAAGGAAAGGTCTTATTACTGTTGAATGGACATGAGTCTCACACTAACGACATGGACATGTTACAAACAGCACCTGATAATGACGTGATTCATCTCGGTCTGCCGAGTCATTCAACACATGGACTTCAGCCACTGGATAAGTCCTTCTTTAAACCCTTGAAGACTCATTTTTCTAGTGAACTTCGTCATTGGATATTAACCAACAAAGAAAGAAAAGTTACCAGGTACCAAGCTGGTAAGTTAATTGGAGCTGCTTGGGATCGTGCAGCAACCGCTTCGAATGCTACATCCAGTTTTGAGGCTTGTGGGATATACTCTTTTAACTCCAACATTATTCCCGAACACTATTTTCGTATTTCTGACACAGCGGCTGATGCACCTACAACTTCCAATACAGAATCCACTCTTTCTACTAGTCTACACCTAGAGTTAAATTCTTCTATTGGTGAGCAACGTGTGGTAACTCCTTCTACTGATGAACAACAAGAGACAACACCCTCAACTAGTCGAAAATATGACCCAACACCCTCAAGTAGTCGGCGACGTAGCCCACCATCCACAACCGTTGAACACCAGCAACCAGTGACCTACATGATTCACCTACTTGCACTATAATGCTACGGATATTGTTGTGCCTTATTTTAATATTTGTATTTTCCTGATTTACTTCTCATATTTGTTTTGCTTTTTGTGAGTTATCTAGAAGACAGTAGCTTTCCAATTTTTCTATATTAAAATAACGAAAATAGGGATTTATCTAACTGTTTATTAATAAAAAACCTAAACTAACAAACATAATAATATTAAAACGATAATAAAATATCAAAACTCAAATGTGATAGATGCAAAATGAAAATAAAATGAATTTAGCTCAAAGCCGAATATCACATAAAACACAACGACCGTTTCCCCTTCAGAAAACAACTACTCCTTTGGCTAATACCACAACAGGCATTGAATTACATCCGAAGGAAAAATAGCAGAGATAGAAATTAATTTTCAACACTCTCTACTTTGATTTTGCTCACCAAGGAGAACATCATTCTTGGACCGGTTTCGTCCTTATTAGGACTCCTCAGCAAGAAATAGATAGGTTCTCAATTCCAGTCTCTAATGGAATTAACAAATGCTACACATTTCACCAGTATACCATAAAGTTGGTTACGGAGAGAATAAAATTCAAGTAGTGAAAATGGTGTCGCCATCTGTTCTTAGTAAGCAAAATCAAAATGCGCTATGGTACCCAGTTTGAAAACTGCCCGCCTGGTTTATTTGGTTCCACCTAGTTTTCAAACTGGGTACCATAGCGCATTTTGATTTTGCTTACTAAGAACAGATGGCGACACCATTTTCACTACTTGAATTTTATTCTCTCCGTAACCAACTTTATGGTATACTGGTGAAATGTGTAGCATTTGTTAATTCCATTAGAGACTGGAATTGAGAACCTATCTATTTCTTGCTGAGGAGTCCTAATAAGGACGAAACCGGTCCAAGAATGATGTTCTCCTTGGTGAGCAAAATCAAAGTAGAGAGTGTTGAAAATTAATTTCTCTCTGCTGTTTTTCCTTAGGATGTAATTCAATGCCTGTTGTGGTATTAGCCAAAGGAGTAGTTGTTTTCTGAAGGGGAAACGGTCGTTGTGTTTTATGTGATATTCGGCTTTGAGCTAAATTCATTTTATTTTCATAATAATATTATACTAGTAATTAGAAAAATGATTTTAAAATTTAAAACTTTCTACATTCACTAGATACTAAATAATAGATAAAAGTTTAAAATATACTAAGATAATAAAATGTGTTTTATAGTTAGAGTTGTTAGGGTTGTCAACTGTCATTTTTTTTTGGAAAGGACAGTCTTTTTTTTAAGCAAAATGTCCTCGCATCTTTTCAAAGCTTAAAATGTCCTTTTTTACGGCATATGTCCTATTTTACTCTTTGATATCTTTGAAAGGGACCTGGCGTGTTCCAAAATATACAAATTGAGAAGTTTTTTTTAGAAGCTCGGTAGAAGGACGAGAACGAGGACGAGGATGAGGATGAAGACGAGGACGAAGAATTTTTGTGTTACACATTCGTTGATTTTTTTTTTAGAAGTTCAGTAGAAGGATGAGGATCTTTTGTATTGTATACCGAATCCTATCAGCATCATAGTCCTTCATTCACATTTTAATTAATTATAGTCCAGGAAACTTTGTATAAATAGATCTTGAACAAAATTAAATAGAATTACCCCCGAAGAACTACTACCTTTCTAACAAAAAAAGAATCATAGAAATCGGACAACATGGTAAATAATTATCGCTGAATATACATAAAAAATATTTAGATAAATTAAGAACCTCCATCTTTTTTTGCAACCAAATTTTGTTAATCAATAATTTTCATAATTCTTTAAAATCAATTAAATTTTCCAAATAGCATTCTTATATTTCGAATTCTGTAATATTTCAAACTGAACTGTTACTTTCATAATTTAGTTCTTCCTTTAACTTACATACCTACATTACATTATGTGAGCGCGTTACCAAAGTGAGAAACTTACGTGTTGCGGTGGAAAACTCCTGTCTCGAGCCATGTAGGCCTCCTGAAGGGGCCCGAGCGGCGGTTGCTGAGGGGCGGCGGTCGCGTTCGCCGTTGCCGCTATCCCCGACATCCCTGTTGCCCCAACAGCGGTTGCCGTCTCATATTCAGAAGAAGAGGTCACTGAATTATTCAGACCCGGAGTTTGCAAGGCCGAACCCAGCTGGTAGTCGGAATCTGCAAAAAATTATTAATTCGTACATTATTAATTGGGAATTTTGAAGGGATCCGCTCTACCCACAGGGTTAAGGGACGTTTTGGTCGAGGCTCTCCAAGGTTTGGAAACGGAATTTATTATTTGAGGACGTTAAGAATTGATTAGGGGGAGATTAAACTTCGGTTCGTGATTCGCAAAAATGAAAAAGTTGAGTTAAAATTGTAGCTTAGCTCTGCATCTAATTTTAATATCAATTTTATACAATAAAAAGAATAATTTTACTGTTAAAAGAAAGTTCATTTTTTATGACAAGTGATAATAGTAATTACAAATTTAGGTTGAAACCGCTAATTATATTTACTATTATATTGACTGACAGAAATGTTAATGATTTATTGCAGTAAAAAAGGGAAGAATATTAAAATTTGTGCCAAATTCTTCGTAAAAAAATGTTTATTTCAATGGCTAAATTATAGTAGACACATCAGGTATTTTTATTCGGTTAAAATGTATTAGAGATTAAAATAATAAATAACCAAGGCAAAAAAGTGGAACTGAAAAAAAGTTCGTTATCTCGTTTGGAATTTATCGAGCAAGTTGCCAGTGGCGTAGTTCGATTTTAAATTGAATGACTGGGAAAATAAATTAAGTGTTGTCAAAACATAGTATTTGGAAATTATGTTTTTAATAAATATACAAATATTTTTCATCGGAGTTGTATGGAGCGGATGAAAATATTACAATTTTAAAGGGACATGTTCTATCAAGTGTGCTGAAAAAGATATTGGCTGTGCCGAAATTGTAAAGTATCCTAAAGAGGAATTGAAAGAGCTAAAGGAACTACTAGAAAACAAATAGAAATAAGCAACAAAAAGAACTTGTGCAAATTCAGAAATTAACTTATTTGAATGGGAAAAAAATATACTTTAGATACGGATGAGCAGCAGATTCTATTGACTAATATTAAAAGTTTAACAGAAAAAATATAGAAATTACAACAGGACTGAAACTGAGTCAGGATAAATTGCTTATAATTGAGAAAGCTAATAAAAAACTGACTCCTAGGTAACATTTTTAGGAGAAACAAGTTTTACTTATATTTTATTAGGATTTTATAAAAGCATAAAAATTAATAATTGTTTTTTACAGTTATTTTTTTTGCTAATAGGACTGCAGGATAAATTTATATTTGTTCAAGAAAACTAGTTTATCCTAAAGTAAACAATGCTATATTGCTGTCCTGTAAGAGTTAATTATTTAGTAATTTTGGAACTATTTAGTTTGAAGATACTCCTTAGGTGTTAAAGAGACATACTTTTTAGCAGTAATCTTAAGCAGGTTTCAAAACTTAGTTGTAAAAAGTGTTTTAGGATTATACTTTAAATTAAATTGATCCCAGAACCTTTTAGGTACATACATTTTTTACAATTTTACAACATAAATCTTATAATTACTTTAATCCAGTAAACGATAGGGCTCTTTTAAAACTATATAGTTTGTTTTAGAACATAACATAGCTTTCTTTCAATCCAATCACATAATCCTGACATGGAGAGCATGTGGAGATTACCGTCTTTTAAACATCAGAGCTGTACCTGATCGTTACCCGATTCCAAATATTAAAGATTTTACGTTCCACCATCAAAACAAAAAAATATTTTTAAAAATAGATCTGACCAAGGCTTTCCATCAAATTTCTAATTTACCAAAAGACAGCAATAATTCCAAATAGTAATAATAACATTTATTGTGATCTATCAACTAAAAACGTCAGACCTTTTGTGCTACTTAGTTTTAAAAGGGAAATTTTTAATAAATATCATAATTTGTCACACCCAGGAATTAAAGTTAATATTAAATTATTCAAAAGTAAATAAGTTTGGCCAAGAATGGAAAGGGGTATTAAAAAGTGGTCGAAATTGTGCACACCTTGCCAAAAATCAAAGATCAATAGACACACAATAGGACCTGTAGCTGAATTTAAAATAATAGATTTAATAAGCCCTTTACCACTTTTATATATTGTTTAACTAGCATTGATAGATTTTCAAGATAGATTGAAACTTTTCCTTTAACCAATATAACAGCAGAATTCGTAGCTCGTGAGTTTTATAATGGATGGGTTTGTAGGTTCGGAGTTCCTTCAAAAGTCACTACTGATCAAGGAAGATGATTTGAATCAAAACTTTTTAAAGAATTTTCTAAATTGATGGAATTTAATTATCTAAGAACAACTCCCTATCATCCACGATCTAATGGCATGATTAAGAGATTTCATAGGACACTAAAAGTTTCTTTAAAATGTGTTTTAAATTCTTCTGAAAAATGGTCAGAAATGCTTCTTCGGCTTAAGAAATACTCCTAAAGAAGATTTAAATGCATCCAGTAGCGAATTAGTTAAAGAGTACCAGGTGACTTAATTTTAAATGAAATAAATTTCAAAGAAAATCAAGTGGAATTCCTAAACAATTTAAGAAAAACCATGAATCAAAATAAAGCAACTGAAACATCAAATCATACCTCAAGAAGGATTTTCATTCCAAAAGAATTGTGTGTTGCTAGATTTGTATTTGTTAGGGTTGGTGCCGTAAGAAAACCTTTACAAAAACCTTATATTGGATCAAATAAGGTTTTGAATAGAAGAGATGCCTTTTTTACATTATTATATAAATGGAAAAGAAAAAATATATCAATTGAAAGACTGAAACCTGCATTTATATAGAACAATTTTAAAGAAGATTAAGTTAAGTTAAATTTTTGTTGAAAAATACTTATTTTTAAAAGGGGGAGTAGTGTAGTGATTTCAATATCTTACTTTTTAATTTCATCCTGTAGGATATTAATTTGGACTTTGATGACTAATCAAAAAACGGTTGTCAGTAATAAAGATTACGAAAATCTATAAATAATTTCTAGTAGTAATACACATGTTATAAGTAAAAACACACTAAATCAGATTTGATGAAAAGTCAATCCATCAAGTCAACTAAAGTATTTTTTCTAAAAAAAATATTGCCATTATTGACTTAATGGATATAAAAATAACTTAAAAACAAGGTTATATTTCTAAGAGGACCTAGAGGATAGGTTTTTACCAGTCTACAGGGTGGACCGGATTTAATTTGCATATACAGAGATCTCGTAAACCGTAAGATATACATTGTCGGTTAAATGGGGAAAAAAGTTTCGTATTTTGACGGATAATATAATGGTCTATAGAAGTTCCAGATTTTCTAAATGGTTCCGGAGATATTCGATAAAATCCGAAAAACCTCATTTTCGTTTTTTAAGTCGTGCGTTGTTATTATAAAAGATACAAAAAAAAATTAAACAAAGTTTTTGTTGTAAATCAAGTTCCCTATAATCTGCCATGTCAAAATTTTACAGAAAATCAGGTGATAGGAATTTATAGATAGCTTGACCGTTTTGTTTTTCATTTTTTGTTTTTGTTATTAGCTTTATTATTTGTAGAATGTGTACAACCATAATTCGTTCTTCATTAGTCTTGCTTGCTGGTTGTACTTAATCATGTTTGATAAAAAATTGTAAGCCATTTTGTAATTAAATAATTCTTGTACTATGTTTCAAATAATATTTAAAATTTCACATTTGAAGCATTTTTTGTTTTTTAATTATTATTTAATTAGCTCTTTTGTTTTAATCAAGTAAGAAACGGTATCATCAGAAGCTACATAGCTGATGATATTTTCATAGACGAAACGTAGTAAAATGGTAAAGTGAAACATATCGTCGTATTTAGCTATACAAAAGCTATAAAAAAATAAGTTGAAGGTGATCCAGGAAATACGGAACGTCGTAATAAAAATTTTGACATAACAGATTATAGGGAACTTCACTTATAACAAAAAATTCGTATATTTTTTTTTGTATCTTTTATAATAACAACGCACGACATAAAAAACGAAAATGAGGTTTTTCGGATTTTATTGAATATCTCCGGAACCAATCAGAAAATCTGGAACTTCTATGGACCATTGTATTATCCGTCAAAATACGAAACCTATTCCCCATTTAACCGACAATGTATAGCTTACGGTTTATGAGATCTCTGTATACGCAAATTAAATCCGGTCCACCCTGTATAGAGCAAAATGAATCCAGTTAAATGAGGTAAATAGGAGAAAAATTAAAAAATGTGCGTTTTTCTTTTATACCGACAATAAAAAAATACCTTAAACTATACGATTTTTAAGGACAGCGTCTCCTAGGAATTTCTGAACAAAATTATGTCAATTTAGATTCAATCAAGGAGGTGCTGTTACCTACCGACTAGAGATTGAATTAGTGCAAATTATTACAGAAATCTTTAAGTAACTATAAATATCGACCGACTAGCTATTAGGGGATATTGTATTATAAACCGGTTTTTAGTAGACTGAGTTCGAAGAATCATAATAATAGTCCTGAACATAAAATCTATTTTTCAATAATTGCGGGGATTTCACCAAATAAAAAAAAATTATTTCGCGATTGTTGAAACGGTCCAATCGTTTTATATGCCATTTATAATATTATAAAAATGTTAACTCTAGGACTCATTTTGGAGTATGAGCATACTTTATTTCAATACTTTTATTGTACTGTTTCATAAAATATTACCTACCTATTACATTTTATTTTTATCGAAAATTGACTTTGTTTCCTGGACCAAAGTAAAGAATGTAGATGGTAACAACAAAAACGATATCTTGCCTCACATTAAATATAAATATTTCCTAAAATAACTAATTTGGTTTATATACGGGTAGTAATACGAGGGATGTTTATAATTTCAAGTCACGAATATAGAGTCGTTTCAAAATATATTGCGACAATAATTGCGTCAGATTGAGTCGGAGGGGGACGCTTATTGACGTGTTGCAATTCGCAATATATTTTAAAACTATTCTACCTAATTAATAAATTGTGATTTTGAAGTATCGAATGAAAACCATATTCTCATTGGTTAAAGATTGAATTTTTTGTCATTTGAATGTTCAAGAATATTAATTGTGATTAA